TGCAATGTAATAACCTTAAATATCGAGTGTAAATTCAGAATCTACACTCCTTACTTTAGGCCATTCAATAAATTTTATTTGATAGAGGCTATAAAACAAACAAACAATACATATACAAATGATATAAGTTAGTATATGCTGTTCATTGATTGAATGGAAATTACATTAAATTAACATAATAAAACATGCATAAACACATGATACAAGTTACAACTCCATTGTTCTGCAAACGTGTTCCTCAAGCAGACGCAGAAAGAGAGAGAGCGGGTGTGTATAATGCAGAGAGGGAAATACAAAAAAAGAGAATGTGGTATTTTGCAGTGGTTATATCAGGATAAGCCCTCTCATTCTGCTGGACACACCTCCCTCAGACAATCATTTAGTAGTGTTCAACAGAGATCAGAGTGACTGGAATTGCATTGGCAGGGGATGGGCGGGGATTTATCAAAAACCAAACTCGTTTTAGCTGGTTTGGCCGTGTGCTCTTAGAGGATTCCACTTTAATAGAGGACTTATTAAAGTTATAATGTGGCTTGATTACCTGTATTAAAACACTTGACTTAATTGGCATAAAGGTTGGCTTTCGATCAATCCCCCTTTATTACAGCAGTATATTGCAAGTGAATAAATGGCACTTCTATGTGATATTTTGCATTCAAATATGAATGGGCTACATAGGGAAGAAGGTTTGAATCAATAATTTATTATAGGTGACCCAAAGGCTAACAACATTATTTGGGGACAACTGCCTCTTGAGAGACCCTAACTTGAGGCTTGTATGGGCTGTCGCAAAGAGTGCGATGACGGAATGGATGGTTCAGTGTCACTTGATATGATGTAATGGAGTAGAAGAGAAAAGGGATGGATAGGAGTGATGTGATGTCTAATGGAGTGGGATAGAGAAGAAATGGATAAAGTAACTGGATGACTATGGGACTGTGAGAGAACAAAGGAATAGATGGGGTGATATGATGGATAATAGACATGGATGGATGGGGGTGATGTGATGGCTAAGGAATAGTGTAGGGAAGATTTATGGGGACAGATGATGTGATGGAGTGAGAGATGCATCTGTGGGTGTGAGAGTGTGACCGTGTGTGTCTGGGAGTCGGTGTCATTTATCCTTCCGAGCTGTGTGTCTAGGGGTAGTTATCTGTAGGTTTTTCTGTAAACATATTAAAATTTATGTAAGTGTATGTTTGAATGCAGTGTGTGCTTTATGTACAAATGTGTGCTTATAACTTACTACAGACAAAATGTAAAGTAACGCAAAACCCGAAACCTGTGTCTGGTGTGAATTACTTTAGGAGCGTGCACGCATTACTTCTTAATTTGGCTGGGGGCAGATACGCAAGATAATCAATTTATTGATTGATTCCACATCACATACCACCTTCTTTAATAATCTATTTGAATTGACTTCATTGACAGGGAGACACGTGTTATAGATAAAAGTTAGAAGAAACATGGTGGAGTACTCCTTTGTATATTTTTATAAGCCGAAAAGGTAAAAAAAAGTGCTGAGTTACTAATACCAGCTTTACAAGTTAAATATATACACTTGTGATTCGTGCTTACATTTCTGAACAATTTCCTCTGCTAATAAGTTTCCTGTCAAGACATTATAGCTTTATAAATAAATTACTCTGACTTTATAAATTTATTATTCAAATATTTATTCAGTTCTTTTTTTAATTCTTTCATGTTGTTTTCATTTTGTACACCAGGAGAAGGTATCATAATCCTTTAATGAGAGCTTTGCTGAATTAAACTTTTACTTTCACATGAGAACTTGATTCAATTATGTTATTGGTATGTTTTCTTATGATATTATCAACTATCAAAACAAGATTACATAATGCAATCGTCAGCCTAACCCCATGAATATTATTGGCAGGCTGTTGGTATAAGTAATGATATAACACTCTGTCGCTATTAAACCATGTATTTTGTAAATATGAAAATTAGTTTAACCCCTTAAGACCGGAGGGCGTACAATTACGTCCTATTTTAAGCGGCTCTAAACGCCGCCGGGCGTAATTGTACACCCTCCGGTTTTTGTTTACTTACCCGGTCCGTGGCAGATCCTCCTCCTCCGGTGCCCCCCGGCCATGTGAGAGTGAGGTCCTTGCGAGGACCTCACAATCACATGGCCGGGATAGCTGGCTTCTGTATTGCCAGCAGGGGGGCTGCCTGTAATTACAGGTGGTCCCCCTCCTGGCTAGAAATAAAATTAAAATAAAATTTATAAGTGTAAAAAAAAAAAATTATACTTAGATCTAAGTATATATATACACACATATACATACACACACGTACACTGTCTAGGTGTATTTTACTATTAATATATATAATTATATATATATATATATATATATATATATTAATATCAAATTACACGTAGACTGATACTAATTATATATATATATATATATATATAATTATTGTTATATATATTTATATATAATATAAAAAAATTAAATATGTAAATACGTTAAAAAATTTAATTAAAAAAATTTAAAAAAATAATGAAAAATTATATAGATGTGTGTTATTTCGTTCTAACTGTATTGTGATATTAATATATATATATTTATATCAAAATACACGTAGAACTAAATAATATATATATCTACATACATAAATATATATGTATATATCACTATATACCTATATATAAATAAAAATATAAAAAAATTATATATATATCACTATATATATATACTTATATATAAATAAAAATATTAAAATAAAAAATAAAAAAATAAAAAAATATATATATATATATATACACATATATTAATTCTACATATATATTTATGTAATATTTTTACATAATTAGGTATCTTAATTAATTACAATTAGCGGGACCTGCCTGACAACCCATGCTGAAAGTAAAGGGAATTTAATTTGCTAGCACTATATTTAACCCTATAACCCTATAACTTTCCAAGACACCATAAAACCTGTACATGGTTCTGTTCTACTCGGGAGACTTCGCTGGACACAAATATTAGTGTTTCAAAACAGTAAAATGTATTACAACGATGATATCGCCAGTAAAAGTGATGTTTTTTGCATTTTTCATGCACAAACAGCATTTACACGGACGATATTATTGCTGTGATACTTTTTACTGTTTTGAAACACAAATATTTGTGTTCAGCGAAGTCTCCCGAGTACAACAGTACCCCTCATGTACAGGTTTTATGGTGTTTTCAAAAGTTACAGCGTCAAATATAAGGCTTGCGTTTCATTTTTTCACATTAAAATTCGCCAGATTGGTTACGGTGCCTTTGAGACCCTATGGTAGCCCAAGAATGAAAATTACTCCTATGATGGCATACCATTTGCAATAGTAGACAACCCAAGGTATTGCAAACGGGGTATGTCCAGTCTTTTTTAGTAGCCACTTAGTCACAAACACTGGCCAAAATTGGCATTTTTTGCATTTTTCACACACAAACAAATACTAACGCTAACTTTGGCCAGTGTTTGTGACCAAATGGCTACTAAAAAGACTGGACATACCCCATTTGCAATACCTTGGGTTGTCTACTATTGCAAATGGTATGCCATTATGGGTGTAAATTTCATTCCTGGGCTACTGTAAAGTCCTAAAGGCAACGTAACCAATCTGGCGAATTTCAATTTCAAATGTAACGTGCTATATTTGACCCTGTAACTTCCTAAAACGCCATAAAACCTGTACATATGGGGTACTGTTTTACACGTGAGACTTTGCTGAATACAAATATGTGTATTTTATTGCAGTAAAAGCAAACAGTATTATGACATTGACAGTTAAAATGTCATGTAGAACTAAAAAAAAAAAAATCTAATAAAAATCTTATTTTCTCCCATTTTTTTCATATTAAATTATGTGTCATAGCTAAATATTTGATATTAAATGAAAGTCCTGTTTCCCCTGAATAAAATGATATATAATAAGGGTGGGTGCATTTAATATGAAAGAGGTGAATTACGGTTGGACAGACATGTAGCGTAAATGCCAGGTTTTGTTTACATTCTGTTTCGTTCACAACGTGTATATTTGGCTCAGGGGTTAAAAAAAACATGTATAGGAGAGTTAACACACCCAACACTCAGTCACACACATACTCCCCTAAACACTAACACACAAACACACAAAACACAGACTTCTTCAAAAAATTCACCCACCACACATGAAAGACTCAACCAGTACACACACAGGCACACTCAGGTGAGAGATGAGCACTCACAGTGGTATGTAAATGAAAATGTACAATTTAAGCCTCGTGGATATAATGTTATTTTAAAACTTTAAACATTTCTAAATATAGGAATTGATCTACTAAATACCAAATTGTGGTGAATTAAGAACTAAATTACAAATTTCAAACAAAAATTGATAATTTAGAAAATTTTCTCCAACTTTGCTTCACTCTAACATATTCGATTTGAGGGGATATTTTCCAATTTTGTTTTCAGTTCACTATAGATATTTTGCATATTTTATACAAAAAAAACAATTCCTCAGATTTCCAGATTTTTTTTCTCATTTGGGAAAAAATAGTTTGCTCATACTGAAACTAGGTGAACTAGTGAATCCTTACTGATACTACACCATGTGTACACCATGTTTAATACACCATGTTTGCACTAGTAACTCACCAGGGGGAGATAATACAATATGCATGTTGTGGCACTGCTTCTGTTTGGCTGTAGCATATCATCCACATTTATATTTTGAGCAAAGCAATATAGCAAAATGTGTACTGCAGCAGTGCCCATAAATAACAAAGGTCAAGAAAATAAATAATAATCATTTAAAAGCATCTGATAAACACCAGCAATATATACTGTTCTGTAAACTTGATTGGTTTTAACTATTTTATACATTTGAATTTAAAGTAATCTTATGTTTTACAAATCGACAACCAGATAGTTTGATGGATATTTTGGTGGTTCTTTGTGCCTCTACAATTATGTAAAGCTAAGAATACTGAGCAAATATACTATATGTCTTTCCATGGCAAGATAAAAGTGATATAAGAGAAAGCCAGGATAGATAGGAAACATTTCTGGTGTAAAGGAGGATGTAAATTTTAAGAAATGGAAAGTGCTCTACAAAAAGTAATGTAAAAGAAACAATTATGTAATAGTTGTAATAGTAATAAATATTGGGGGGCTGGACCTTCAAGCAAGCCAGACGTGAAACGCTGCAGCTCCTGCACTACTAATCGATAAAAGGGTATTACACCTGATTTACTGGCTACCGCGACCCACTCTAAGTGTTCCTGAAAGCAGGGGACTTCCGGGCAAGCTATCTGTTACTTCAAACGAGGACTTGTCCTGCTACATACCTGGGAGTCCTGTTGTGGCCTGCTGGGAGCAGGGGAGAAGCAGCCGATCTTCCTGCGCTCTGGTTCTCGACTGGGTTCGACAGCACTCCTAACCCCTCTTTTGACCACTGGGGGATATCCCGGTCCCCTCAGAGCTGATTAAGCACACCTACCAATACTCACCAAAACGAGAATGTTGCAGTGACCAGCCCTCCGGGATCTCAAAATGGCAGATGCCCTCCATTTGGACTTACACACTGCGAGTTCCATCCAGGGGAATTCACTCAACTTTGTCTCTGAAGCCCTGACATGGCTCGACCAGATCTTTCAATGCTTTTGGCTCAAACTCCTGCGCAGCATTGCGGCTGAGTCCAGGAAGAGAGTATGGAGAGGTGGGCAACCGGAAGCACAGGTACCTACTTATGGCACATCGACAGTGAAGCAAAATGTGCACCCAAATGTATGCCCACCAAGGCCGAGAGCCACATGGGGCTCGCAAGCCTTGCATTGCCCACAAAGATTGAAGTTCGATCACACACAGTGGCGAACAACACCTACATCCTCT